GAAAGCATAGAGCATAGGAAAGCAGCTCCTCCTGGGATGCTGATACCACTGGGCCCAGATTTCTTCTGAAGGGATCCTATGGGGGAATGCAGAACACAACATGCCTGCTATGCAGCCTCCAAGGTAATTCCAGAGCTGGAGGCCACATGCCCAGAGCATCCGAAGGAAGAGGGCTACAGCCTATGTGTCCCTTGATTCTTACTTTTCTCTCATCTACTCGCTCAAAAAAATAATGTTTGGTGCCTTCAGAGGTGGCTCAGTTACCACAGGCATGAATACTCGAGTTTGGTCCCCAGATCCATGTAAAAATGCCAGGCAATGGTGGTCTATCTCTGGGGAGATGGAGAGTGGAGGATCCCTAGGGATCACTGGCCAGCTTGTCTGGTCTAATTGGTGAGCTCTGGGCCACTGATAGACCCTATCTCAAAAGGGTAGGTGATATTCTGAGAATGACACCCAAGGCTGTCCTCTGGCCTCCACATGTGTTACATGCATGCATATACACATTAACTCACACATGCACTTGCATTCATACTTGAACATACATTAAATAGAGAGTTGTGTTTGGCTTCAATGAAATAATGATACACAGGGAGAGGGAACAGTGTAAAGCTAGGGACAGCAGAGCTTGGGAACTTTGGGGGCATGAGTCTTTAACTTTCTTGGGGTGGGCACAAGGCACGCTTCTCAAGAAAGAAGGCTGAAAAATTAGCGGAGATAAGGGGGTGCAGTATCAACAGTGGGCAACAGCACCCCAAGGGAAGGGTTAATGGGTATTGGGAGCCCTGGGTTCATCCTGATTGGGGAAGAAAGACAAAACTTAGTAGGTCTCCATTCCCACATCCTGAGTGGACTCTGACCATGTGTGGAGTTGACTGCAGAGCTCTAAACATGCCTGTAGCTCTTCGACTTGTTGTGTCTGAGGGCTCATCAGGAGGTCCCTACTGCACAGTCAATTGAGAGAGGTGTGCTGAGGATGCCTTGAGTCCCAGGGACTCCGTGGCTCCTTCAGGATCAGAGTAGCCTCGAAACCCTCATCAGAAGCAGGCAGAGAAGTGGCATCCTCCATGAACTGGCTTATTGAGTGGCCCTCACTTGCTCGGTGGGGCTGGCTCACCGGGTGGCATTCTCCAGTGCCCGAGAGAAGGAGGCGTAGTCATCCGTGGAGTGCTCCAGGGAGTAGTACCATACGGCAGCAGCGAGGATATGGGCATCTGAGTCCTCACCACCTAATGAATTCTGCAGTGCCTGGTAGAAAGCTGTTTTGCTGTTGGTTCGGCCTTGGCTCTCTTCGAATTGCTTTGAAAAGAGAGAGAGGGAAGGAACGAAAAAGACATGAAATTTCCCAGTTACATCCTGAGAGGTACACACTGTGCCCTTCAAACATTATTCTAGAAGATTCTCTCTGAGCAGCAGCAAAACACAGCATTTAGCACTTGTACTTGTTCCAGTCCCACCGGTTTTCACTGTGTGTACTGTGTGACCTTAAGCAAGTGGCTCTACCTTTCTGTGCCTTCTCTTTGTCCATCTGCAAATGGGAGTGCCTTCTATTAGGGTTGGGAGAAGGACATGAAGGAAATCCAATTTAAGTGTGGTCCTTCTTAGTCCAGATGGCTGTCTGACACTGGGCCACACGCCTGTCTTTCTGGCTTTATCTGGCTAGGTTTAGCTGTCTTGTGCCATCCCATGTACTGCCATGGTCATTCAAATATGAGTAGACAGTGTTGCCATAAGAACAAACTCTTCCCTGGACCAACTCTGCCTGTCCTGGAAAGCTAGGACCATAAGATCAAGCTCCCTGACTGTTGGGCTATGTTCCAGCAGGTGGAGACAGAGATGTGTAATGGATGTCCAGAGCCTCACAGAGTGGGCTTAGAATGGGCAAGAATACAGGGATGAGGCTGTGGCCAGGCTTGCTTTAGGGAGAAACTGCACTGTTGGGCTGAGGGACTGCATATGTGCTCAGGGGCAACAGCCACTTTTCTCTCTCAGCCTCCCTGCTCTGCCCTTGTTTCGCTGCTGACCATGCTGTGGGAGGGGGAGCTACTTGGCTCCTACATTCTGGCCTCAGTTTCCTCCTTTCTGGAGAAGAAGGGCAGAAGATGAAGGTCTTTTCTTGATGCAGTTCTGGGAGTGTGGCCAAGATGCCTGATCCTCAGAATGCTTAGGATGCACATGTTTACATATTTCTAGGAGCTCCTGTATACCGTGGCCCCGCTTGTTGGTAGACCTGGTGTGTTTACACTGCCCTAAGTTTACCTCCTCTAAGTGTAGGGATCCAGGATCAGGGCATGAGGTTCCATATATTGGTGATCTAACACGAATGTTCCCTCTTGTGGGACAGCTGGCCAGACCTGTTCATAGGGGTGGGGGGCGGCATGGCTGGCATACCCATCTGTGGGATGATTTAGCAAAGACGTGTCCCAGTTACATAACACCAGCCTCATGAGACAGTGAAGAAGACCAGAGAGGCTAGCATGCAAAAGGACCTTGTTTCTTTAGTCTTAACGTTCATTTTAGAAAGAAATCTTAAATGCATCAGTCTCTGCTAGACATGTGAGTATATGAGCACCCATGGCATGAACAGCTTCCAAATGCCACCAGAGACCAAGGCCACAATAAAAAGAGGTTTATGTGAAAGCTCTCAAGCATACCCCAGCCTCATCCACATACCCATATTCTCTCACAGAACCCCAAATAAAACACACAAGTGGCACGCACCCACTTTGCTCTCACCATTGGTATTTAGGAGTTACCATTCATCTATTCTGGGCTAATTAGATTGGTCCTCACCTACCCACCTGCTGTCTATCATGCTGACAGACAAGTTTCCAAAGGTCTGGGGGAAACTTAATTGGATGGTTCTTATCTGTTCTGATTGCCTGGAATAACTCGTAACAAAGTGGCTACTAAAGCTGTCACATACCTCCTGTCACTTACAGCTTAGTGTTTAACATTCCCCAAGTGCTTTACCAAAGTGTGCCAGGAGCCCAGGTGCTGGGTGTGGCATCATCCCACTTTCTGCTCTAAGTCCAGGCCAGGAGAGTCTTTGCCTTCTGAGGGCATCATACAGAGGGCCAGCATGGGCTGGTGTTTAGTGCAGGACTTAGCATGCATGGGAGCTCTCAGTCCTTTCCCAGCTCTAACTTAACATGCCCAGAGTGACATTGAAAACACAGGACCACAAAACATGGAAGGGAGGTGGCCCATTGGTACATGGCCGACGGTGGTGATGAGAACACTGAGTTGGGAACCAACATGAAGGTATAAGTATCAACTGCCAGGTTTGAGAATGGCTGCACCTCTTCTGAGCCCTCCTGGGAGGATTAAGGCACCCGGGCAGTTGTGCCTGTGTGTGGTGTAGATTATGAGCAGCTAAGAGGCTCTAGCACAAGGGCCTTCCTGGACCCATGAGCCCAAGCTTGGTTCCTAACCCTCTACATGCCCCAGAGGTGTGACATTGGCTGGTCCTGTAACCTCACCACTCCTCAGGTTCCTTGTGCGCAAACTGGAGTTAACTTGAGTATAGGCTATAGTGTTGTCTTGAGACTTTAGAGTGACAGTCTGAAGCACCCTGGTCAAGCTCTGGCATAGAGCACTTAATAAAAGAGACACACTTGCAGTAACTGTCAGTTTCGCTAACTTCAATGACAAAACTAAAGGAGGAAACCTAAAGGCCCTAAACTACTTATCACAGGATACAAATACCCCTGTGTGTCTAACTTCATGGAACAAGGATCCTCTCTTGCTTTTATTCCTATCTTTACTTCTTTGTGTTAGTACTATGAATCTTTAAAGGGCTGTGAGAGTACTGATCGCTGACCTGTTGCAGATGTCAGATTCCCTGGTCTGTTGGCTTGGCTCCCAGCCCTCAGCAAAGGCAGTGAGGAACAAGGACAGGGAAAACCCCATGGCCATTTCCTGTGCCTGTGTTCTGCAATGCCCCTGCCCTGACGCAGAAATGGTGGTCGGAGGAGGGCTCTGTTCTGAGATCTTGGGGGATGTTCACCCACAGCGGATTCTTGTACACTTGCAAGGCACAGTTTACCTTCACTTCCTAACAGGAGGGAGCCCCAGAGAGGTCCAGGTACCAGGACCTCTGTGTCCCACTAGCCATGCTAGGCAGTACTGCGCACAGTGAAGGAAGAGGCTTTCCCTTGTTGATGGAAATGTGAGGACTCTTGCTGAGACACTCAGAATACATGTGCTGCAGAGGATAAGGGCCAAATTAGGAAGGTCTAAGTCTACTTCCTGCCCAAGCCACAGGTCTTCTATCCAGATGTCCCCACCTCCTGGCAGCTGCTAGCCCCATTCATCTCTTTCCTCTGTGTACATTCTTGCTTACCTGGGGGCACCATCTTCTTGTCCTTATTTCATTCTAGTGAGGTAAACCAGATCTATTCTTTGACGGTTCCCTCTGCTTCCTCCTGTCTCCTACCCCCTCCCACATCATGCCCCACACGCCAGTTCATCATGCCTCCTCACCTATCCAGTTTCTACTCCAATGCAAGGCAGATGCCATACTGTTTGGTGGGGAAGAGCTGCTCTATACTCAGAAGGCTCTTAATCTATATCCATTTACACACTGTCTCCTCACAAGGTTGCAGGATTATTAGGCTACTACCATTCTGAGGAGTAAGTGAGCACAGCAGAATCCCTATTGGAGAACCAGGAGGACACTGGAGCTTGCCAGGGTTCAGATGCCCACAGCTCTCTAGAGCAGTGGTTCTCAACCTTCTTAATCCTGCAGCCCTTTAACACAGTTCCTCATGTTATGGCCACCTCCAACCATACAATTATTTTCATTGCTACTTCCTAACTGTAATTTTGCTACTGTTATGAGTCATAATGTAAATATCTGTTTTCTTATGGTCTTCGGAGAGCCCTGCGAAATGGTCATTTACCCCACCCCCGAAAAGGATTGTTACCCACAGGTTGAAAACCAATACTCCAGAGCTTTTGAGGACCTTTTGTCTGCTGGGTGGACAAAAATTGAAGACGGACCTACTGCCAGCCAGAAATGGGAGATTCAAGATAAGCCTGATGCGAGTTGCCCTAAAACAGAATATGGTTGGGTTGGAGAGTCTCACAAATGAGCAAAGTGCTCTAGCAGGGTCCTTGTATCCTGGACAGGGTGGCTTCAGGGAGCAGAGAGGCATGTCCTCTGCTCAACCTTCCTGCCCTTCATGTCGCTGACTGCCCTTTATCCAGAGCCCCAGTGTCCATGCAGGTCAGGGACTTTGACTGTGGGCTTAATTCAATTGGTTTCACTTCCAGCAGCATTTTCCATTTACCCTCCACCTCCTTTAAGGAAGCCCCCTTTTCTGGGCCATTGTGGCATGAAACTTCCCTGGTTTTCTTCTGAGCTTCTTCTGGAACTCATAGTTCACAGTCCTATCTGCCAAACAAGCTGCACCAAAATCGGATGACCTCTCGAGGTCCTCCTGAAAGGACAAGGAGCTCCTTGCATGTCCACAGCATCATAGCCTGCTCTCTACCTTCCCCATTACTTGACTCTCACCAAGGTCTTGATTGGCTGCTGCTAGAGTGCTTGTGTTTTTATTTTGTAAGGGGTATGTCAACACAATCATTTAATACTTAAAGATACATGGGAATCTCTCATCACTCTCTCCCTCTTTCTTCTTCCTCTGCTCCCGCTACTGTTCAGGCTTCCAGGACATAACCTTCCTGGGTCTGGCAGACAGGCCTTTCCCACTCTGGCTTCTATATCTCCCCCTACTCTCAGATTTCCCTGTCTTATGGCTGTCTCCTCTCCCATGCAGGTGTCAATGCAAAGGCCCCCCTCCTCTAGGTTGTTCCTGTCTGCTCCTAAAGTATGCTCCTAAAGTCTCCCTTTCTACTGCTTCCTCTGCAGCCCCCTGGTTCTGCTTTCCCCAGGGCTCTCCTCAAGACCTGAAACCCTTAGTGCATTTGCTTATGCATTGTTGTCTCTTATTTCTGTGAGCTCTGCCTGCCAGGGGCTCTACCTGGGTGCTTAGAACTTTCTCCCAAAGACTAGAAGACCTCAGTAACAGGGTGTTTAATAAAATCCCAGGGGTGCTTGCACAAGTCACACATGAACCACTGTTCACTGCTTATCTTACTACAGAGCTAAGAAACAATGGCCAACCTTTTATCAGATGTGGCAGAATTAGTGTCAAGTGTCTATCACATGTTTAGAGACCCACAAAATATTCTATCATTTTGTTTTAAGTTACAAGAGAAGGCAGGCACGGTGGGCACACACCTATAATCCCAGCACTCAAGGAAGCAGAGGCAGATGGATTGCTGTTGAGTTCGAGGCTAGCTTGGTGTACAAAGCGAGTCCAGGGCAGCTTAGGCTACAAAGAGAAACCCTGTCTCGGGCTGAAGAGATGGCTCAGAGGTTAAAAACACTGGCTGCTCTTCCAAAGGTCCTGAGTTCAATTCCCAGCAACCACATGGTGGCTCACAACCATCTATAGTGAGAGAAACCCTGTCTCAAAAAAAATTACAAGAGAAAATATGATGATGATGGTGTGATGACAATATAATAGTAATTCTATCTTGATTGGCACTCATCTTAATAAGAACAGTCATAAAATATTTTCCTAATGTTTGAGGGATAGTGAATCCACCTGTCTTGGCTCTAGGGAGAGCCTCCAAGGTTCTAGATGAGGAGACACAGGGTGTCATGCTCTGAGGGTCTGTGTCTCAGTGGGGACAGGAGGGTCACAGAATGTTAGATAGGGCATTCTGGAGCTGGATCTCCACAGCGTCCCTTCTTGATGAGAGATGTCTCCATTCTTAGATCCTGTCTGCAGAAGGCAGACGGAGCTCACTATACTACTTGGAAGCTACAATACCCACAGCTCTAACTGGCTTAGTAACTTGTCTAAACCACATGGTCAAAACCAGGAATCATGACCTATTTTCCAGTTCATATCCCATGTCTGCCTAGGTCCAGACCTAGCATGAGGAGATTTGTGGTAGTGGCTCCTTTTTCAAAGATCTCTTTTTCCCAGACACACACCACACACACACACACACACACACACACACACACACACACACACACACACACACACACACTGAGTATTCCTGCTTCCGCTTCTTACTATGAGCTGCCGCCACCAAGGATCTGATACTGCTGCACTGGGGCTCATGCCAGCAACTTAGCTGCCAGGTGCAGCTTTCCAACTCTCAGACAGCACGCCCCCACCCCCTTCACAGGCCCACACTGCACCTGCTCCTGAATGAGGCCAACTCCCAGGCAAGCCCAGGGCACGCAGGCTACACTAGGCTTTGGGTTTTTCTTGCCTTCCTCGGAGATGCTTGGAGGGGAAGCAGAACCGTGAATCTTGGAACAAATCTGCTTTTGATAATGCAAATGTAGTCTTGGTTAATGCAGACAGACTGTCAACTTCAGCAGTCAGGAGGAGAAGGAGGGAGGGGGATAATTCCCCATCTCAGAGACCAGTGGAGAATTTCAATAGAATGCTTCGACTTCAGAAATAAGATCACTCTGAACAAGCGGAAGCTTTCCACCTTCCCAGGCGTCCATGTGCCCACCATGCTCTGCAGGTATGTCTCTGGGTGTCACGAGGACTCCTTGGGTGGCCTCAGTGGCAGGGGTGAAAGCCTTCAGGGTTTGATGAAGCCCTACCCACCCACCTTTGGTCTGAGGGTATTTGGTAGTTTGGGCTGAGGGGTTGGCTGGTCCTGAGGCTGAATAAGGGATAGGAGGCACCTCTTCCTCCCCTGGACTTGTGCTGTGGGCTGGTTTCCAGCTGTCATTTCTGTAGCTGCTGGAAGGAGAAAGTACGTGTGCCTGCTTTAGTGTCTATGTGCACATTTGCTGTGATTTGGAAAACTGGCTGGAGGTCAGAGGATTCAGTGTGTGTAAGTCCTTTGGATTTCTTCTTGGGACCAGGGCCATTGACTATTTTATTAATGAGTTAAGTATAAAAATAACTATCATTTATTCAGGTCCATCTATTTTCTTGACAGTTAAGTATGTGTGAGTCCTCTGGGCATATTCAGCAGGGTCTCTGAATAATCTCCCAATTTACAGATAGGAAAACTAAGCCTCAGGTTCTGGGGAAATGCTCTGGACTATAGTCAGAAGACATTGGGGACTTCCCCCTGTTTTTCTGTCAGAAGGCCAAAGGAGGGGGTCTGTTCTTGCTCATTTGTCACCCAGCTGGCAGTGCCACTATGGGTAATGAACCCTGCCCTACCTCTTATCTTCAGGGACATGATGCCCACCTGCCCACACAGCATACATATATCCATCCCCAGATGCTTGCCCTTCTGATTATCTATGTCTGGCCATTACCTCTTAGGGGGCAGGGATTCAATTGATAGTGATTTCCACCCAAACTAGTCCTCCACCTGGCACGCTGTAAGTGACTGGTCTGCTTTCACCAGCAAGCTGGTGCTGGTATTACATACTCGTGCTATGTGCCCTGCTCACCTAGGCATGGTGATTTCCTGGGTGTAGAAGTTACCCAAAACAAGGGTCACTGTCAGGATATAGCTCTGACTGCTGGAGAGGGGTGTGGCTGGCCCTGAGCGAACTGGCTGATGGAAGGCTCGTGGATTGAGTGAAAACGAGGAGACTCTGGATGCCACCATTGCTAAGCCTGACAATAGGGGTGCACAGGAAGGACTGTGCTAGGTATAGAATTTGAGTGTGGACAGAGGTGGCCTCAGCAGTTCACCGTGCACTGAGGATGAGGAGCTATAGGCATCTAAGTAAAGATGTTCAGCAGTCTTTTAGCGCTGGCAGCAGTCTGGGCTTAAGGGTGTGTGTGGGGGGGGTGGAGTCTGACTGGACAGCCAGGCTGGAGGTGTACTTCCCTCTCATCAGGGACTGGTATAGAGAGAGCTGGGCTCTGGCTTACCATCAAACACTGCTCCTGCCATCTACACTGCCAGGTGTGCTCACCAGACACAAGACCCTAAGACTACACACGAGCTCAGTGTGTCTGGGTAACTAGTGAGACAGACATGGGTGGCCAGTGAGACAGAAACGGGTGACCAGTGAGCAGTGTGCCAAGGCCTCGCTCCCTGTGGGGTGGGGCTGGAGAAGCATGACCAACATGTGCTGGCTTTCCTGCTCTGGCCACCTCCAGTGCACACCTTCCCAGCAGGGCTGGTTTAGCAGTGAGCCTCCTTCCATATGCCACCGTGCTCCTTTGTGAAGGAACAAAGGGAAGTTTACCTTGAGCGCTTTGGGCAACTGAAGGAGAACTGAAATACAGCATTGGGGAAGGATTCTTGGTCCTCTAGCCTACCAGTAATGACAAAAAGTTCCCTAAACACCACTGGGACAGTGCTAGGGAGGGTGAGTCCCAGGGAAGTCGCACAGCCAAGCAGCCTTCTTATGATTGGCTAGCACAACTGGGAACTATGGCCTGGGCTGTGCTCTGACCCATCATAGCCCACATCTACCAGCAGGAGGCTACTTCTGTCACTAGTGGGGGAACCCCAACTGCTGGAGGTGCTGTAGGCAGCATCTGCCAGGGTAGCCCTCACCTCTCCATGCTCCCTGTCTGAGATGAACCCTAAGCCGAGACTCTCAATGTAACTTCCCCTCTTTCATGACTGAGAACTGGCATGAGTGTTCAGCACATGTTTCCAGGGCCAACTTTTGAGGACAGAGTGTCCTACCTAAAGATCACATGTCCTCTCTCAGAGGACAGCATTGTCTGTGATATTGCAAGGAAAAGGTTATATTCCATGTAACTCAACACGTTTGTGACGAGTGTAGCAGCAGAGACCAAGCCATTCTGTTTTACAGTGTCAGAGGTGGTCAACGTTAGCTGCTCGGCGAGTCTGTCCACACCACTATCCTTTCATGTAGAAGCACACAAATATATACACACATGCAGATACTTGCTTCTTAAATATGAATGCTAACTCAACTCCATGTTTCTCTGCATCTTCGTTTCCTACTTAACAGCCAATCACAGGCATCCCTCAGGCCAGCATCGAGATCAGGCTCATGTTTTTAACAGCTGAATAATATTTAGCACTTGGAATGTATCTTAATTTAGCCAACTATTTCCCTGTCAAGGGACATCTGGATTTCTTCCCAAATTTTTTTTTCTGCAACCATTAACACTGTGATAAATGTCCTTGTACACAAGCTGTGGAAGAGAGCTGTGCTTCTGCTTGTGTTGAGGTATTCCTCACGCTGGGAACTCCCTGCTCAGCTTCTAGTCTAAGCTCTTTATGGTGACTGATTCATAGCTGCAATTTGTGATCATATCTGTTTTAGTCACCTCTTGTAAATGTCTTAGTTCTGAACCCAGCTTCTGCCATGACTATGTCCAGGTTCCTGTAGTCTTGACACACAGGCCTCTGTCAGCCAGAAAAGTAAGACCGTTAGTAGTTCTCAACCTAGTATGCCAGTAGGAGGCTTCAGAGGCCGTACCCTGCCTCCCTTCACCTACCTTCACAGCCTTCGCCCTGTTGATAAGCCCATCATCCTGAGAACCTCCTATGAGTAGATCCACTTTTGCCGGCAGAGGCCTCTTCAACCCTCTGGCTGGACCTTCACGTAGGTACTGGCCATCCACTACCGGGCCCCAGTAGTGGAAAGGGCCACTCACAGCCAGGAGCTGCAGGGTGAGGCAGAAGGCCATTACTTGCATGCATTTTAGTTTTCTTTAAAAAAATGTACAATCACAGTTGTTGGCTGTGCTGAAGCTGAGGACTGTAGCAAAGAAAGAGCCAATGGTTCTGAACAGAGAGAGACCAGAAAGGCCTCTGTGAATGAAGGGCACTCTGCATGACAGAAACCTGCCCTTCTTACCTCCAGAGCCTCATAATTCTGCCTCACAGTGTCTCATGGTGTCTGTCTTTTGTATAACAATTACATTGCTTTGCTTAGTGGGGCCTTAACCATGAACACCCGTGCTCCAAATCCAACTAGGCTCTAATGTCCTGTCTAACAGGACAAGCAGGACATCCTGTGCCAGTGCCCAGGGCTGGGGAGAAAATCCCCCTTCAGCAATGCTTGGCATCCAGGAGACCCTCCCAAAGGCCCTCTGCTGAGTAACAAGAGGTTTCCAGGAGAAACAGGAAGAAGGGGGAGGCCTTAAGGTCAGTGCTAACAGGTGTTCCTAACCAGCATAGCCTACATAGATGAGGTTGGGGACTAGACTTTGTCTAGATCTCAGGGTCTAGACTCAGTATGAGGATCATGCCTGATCATATCTCCTTTACCAATGTCAGGGACAGCCAGAGACTCAGGCTGAGAGCAAAGGGGTATGACCTGACCTTGTGCCTCTATGGTCCTAGCATGCAGAGTGACCCTTCTCAAGTTCTATTTCATTTCATCTTTCAACTCTAGGTCTCTGTTAGAGTTTCCACTTTGTACATTAGACATCTAAATGACAGAAATTTGTCTCTCATCGGCAGCCCTGTATGTTCCTTCACAGCTGTGGCTCCTGCAAGGACAGGGACTCAGGAGACAAATTTATCTTTAGTTGTTCATGCAATGGATGTGTATCTTGGTGGAGAGGATCATCATACCTCCATTTTAGGCCCTGGTCTTCCATTTGTAAAGACAAGAGGTTATTCCTCCCCACCTGCACACCAAAACTGACCTTGGTCTGAGCATCATTGAGGATGTTGGCAGGCTTCTGGCGGAGGCATGACACCACTTCCTGGACAGATGAGGTAGGACATCTGACCTCCTTTGCCAAGGCCACAGCTTGCTGTTGGGCCCTGTCTGGGGTGATAACTGCAGCGGGGGACAGTGCGGAGCCTCCCTGGAGAAAAGAGCAGGGGTTGAACTGGAAACCTGTACAGCTTTGGCTACTGCTTAGGACCCTCAGGGCTCAGCAGAGTTCTGTACCCTCCTCCACATGCAGACATCAGGATCCTTTGATAGGCAACATGTATGGATGTCAGGTTAGCAAAGTAGCATGTGGTGTGAACTTGAGCAAGTCAAGGCAAACTTGGTTTCCTTATTTGTGAAGTGAGGGTGTCATGAGTTCCTCTTCAGTTTCTCTGAGCAGCTAAAGAAGTATATGGAGGCAAAAGATGATAGTTCTTAGGGACTAAGAAGGCTTCTGGTAAAAGAACCCCACGACATACAATTTCAGCTCTCTCCAGCCCCAGGGAGTTCCTTAAGCAGCAAGGTTTCCTCTCTCTAAGATGTAGCTGAATGTGAAAACAGAGATCCCCTGGAAAAAACGCCATCATTCCAGGTATCTGAGGTACTGAGAAGTCAGTGCATGGATAGACATGTAACCAGACAGGGAGAGCCTAGAGCGCAGTGATCTTGTCAATAAACCTCTGCAGTTTTCTTAGCATGAGTATGAGTACCGTATCCTTGGGATTATTTCCCTAACACAGTGGCCAGCTTCCCTGAGAAGCCCATTGTTAATAAGAAGCACACCAGTCATGAGAGCTCAATGGCCAAGCACTGAGTCACTGTGAGGCAGACTCTCACACGTACCTGGGAGGCTCCTGACAAGAGGGTGCTATACCTATCCCATATTGAGCTCTAGTTCTTAGGTCCTTGGAGGCAAACCTGTGACCAGAGTCTGAGGTTAGGCCAGCAGTCAGAAGCTCATCTGAAGGACAGTAACATGGACAGGGTGGACAGAAGAATTACTGTTAACCCAGTAGCTATATATAGACTGATGAGCAGAGCTCTTCCTGGCATCTCTGAACTGCAGAGAGATAAGTACAGAGCCTGGGCTGCAGACACTAGATAGTGTGAAGCAGCATAAGGGGGTTCTCTTTTTTACTGTGTTTTTCATACTAAACTCAGCCTGCTGGTGCCTCCTGCAAGATGTGTAAAACAGACTCTGCTAAACATCAATATCTACAAACAAGACAGAATCCACCAGGCTCCTCATGAAAATCAACAGCAGTGTAGGTCAAACTTGTAGCCAGCCAAGTCTGGCATGCAGCGACCTTGGCAATGAACCACAGAAGGTGGACTATCTTGAGTGTGAGTTTTACATCAGGTGGCCAGCTTTTTAAAGAACCACTTGCTTTGTTCTTATAACAGAATGCCACTCACACTAAAGGCATTCATGCTGCACTCTGCCCCTCACTCTGCACCATCAAGTGAATGCCAAGTGGACTCTGATTCGCCTACAGCAGTAGTTTTCAATCTTCCTAAGACTGCAACCCCTTGATACAGCTCCTCATGCTGTGGTGACTCCCAGCCATACAATTCTCTTCATTGCTACATCAAAACTGTAATTTTGCTACAGTTATGAGTAGCAATGCAAATATCTGGTATTTAGATGGTCTTAGATAACCCCCGTATAAAGGTCATTTAACCCTAAAAGGGGTCGAAACCCACAGGTTGAGAACCAATTACTTACAGGGATGCCTGAGGACTTGAGGATTTCAGGGTGGGCCTCTGATGTTTTCAATATTTCTTCCAGCTATAAATAGCTAGGGTTCTTGATATGGGGAGGAAGTGGGCAAAGGCGTGGGTTTCACTGACACTGTGAGATAGCTTAGAGAACTTTCCTCTCTCTTTTTGTTGTGATCATTCTTTCTGAAGGAAGCCTTGTTCTTTGTGGAAAATCAGCAGTTAAACAGGCTGTCCTCATCCGGGGGCATTTGTTAGGACATAGATGTGGTGGCCTTTGATGAACTCCAACTCTGTCACTCTGATGAAGTCATTCTGAAATTGTAACTTTAGTGTGTCCAAGAGGACTCCCTCTCAGGCCTTTCTTGAAGAAGTCGTTAGCTGGCAAGGCAACAGAGGTACTTGTTGTTGTTTTTTTTGTTTTTTTTTTTTTTTTTTTTTTTTTTTTTTTTTTTTTTTTTTTTTTTTGACAATCTTGCTGTACCAGGTATGCCCTGATGGCCCTGACTTAGGAAGAGAGTCTGTGGGAAGCCCATTGTGTCACCTTCCTAGAGCCCCCTACTCCTCAGTTCTCCTTTACCTGGATCCTCACTATGAGGTAGGAACTCCTCAGGGGAGGAGAAGGTGGGAAACCCACAGCCACCTTCTCACCAGTGGATGCACAGGCTTACATGGGCTGTGGCAGCCTCCGCTAGGGGATCAACAAAAAGCACAAGAGTCAGGCAGAACTACTGTGCTCCATACGCAGAAGAACCCATGAATCTGACTCTAGGGGTGCCAGGCATCTGCCAGAAGTGAAGCTGTACACCTCAGTGTCACAGAAGGGAAGGGACAGACATGAGGTGCATCCCTGGCAGCTATCCACAGCTCCACATTCTACCCACTATGTCTGTGGACGTGGGTTTCTGCCGGTCTCTGTGAGAAGGTGGGGCCAACACCCAGTAGGAAGGCTCTGTTTTAAAAACATACAGGCTGAGGTTTTGGTTTCAGTGCTACCCGCTTTTCTGTCAGTTCCTGACTTCTCATGGAAGGGCCCTGTTGATCAACCTTTCCAATGAAGGTACAAGATAATGACGCAAGAGACCCCACGTGGGATAATCAGCCCTCAGTGAAAGCGAATGCTATTAACCGTGGGTTTCTTTCCCCCCTGCAATGTGCTATCTAGCTTCCTGCTGGGAGGAAGCAGAATGCGACTCAACAGCACTGCAGCGCTCTGAGGAGCACTGCCAGCTCCTATGGTGATTTCAACCATTTGCTACTGAGGAGAGATCAATCTAAGAGAATTTTGACTCTGTCTGATTTTATGCAAAGAGTCTTATGCCTTAAGCCCCGAAGCTATGGTCAGATGCAAGGTTTTTCAAAGTACCGGCTATGGACTGTTCTTAGCTGCACACAACCAAGAGTGATCCCAAGACAAGACCTCTGCTTTTGGGATAAGGAAAGAAGCTAGAATTTTTACACATTAAGAACTCTGAGGAGGGGCCGTGGGCCACCCGTATGCCCTGAGAACTCTGCAGAGAGGCAGGATGTGAGAGGACTTTGATGGTAGAAAATGAGTGGAGGGGGACTCTGCCAGGTGACAATTCCTGGGGGAGTGGCAAGGATTGAGGGTAGGCTGAGACTATTGAAGACAAATCCAGGGGTCAAGAGACCCCACCATCCCTGTAAAGAGCTTCCTATGTATTAAAGATATATTAAAGGAGGGAGTCAGCACACAGAGGGATAGGAACATAGGTGGGCTTTCTAGGAGGGGAAGAGGACTCTGCAGAGAAGATGCTGAGAAGAAAGATCAGAAGACAAGTCAATGACAGCCAGATGAGAGGTGTCACCTTGAGGCCACTAACCCTGGGGTACAGAACAGGCTTCTACAGCTATGGGAAGTCCTTAGGGATTTTGGACAGACCATTGTAAGTATTTAGGAATATCACTGCCTACATCTGTGCATGGTCAGGCTGAAATGGGCTAAAGCACACAGCAGGCCCTTGAGCAATGACTGAATATGAATGCCTCAAGAATGTGGGCTACTAAGGGCAGAGTAGTGAAGAGACTTTTCCATCATTGGCTAGAGCCATATGTATAGGACCCATTTCCTATAGACACGTAGGGCAGAAGTGAACTGGGGCAAAGGGCAGGATGCCGCTCGACCCTCTTGGTATTAGAAAAGGTAGAGGGAGCATCTGAGGCAGGAGCATTGGAGGCAGGAGCCAAGCCCAGGCTGTGGTCCAGGGATTCTGGGTAGAGATCAGAGCCAGAGTGTCTGTCCACTGCTCTTGTATCCTTCCTTTCCTGGAAATGCACCCAAGCCTGAGCCTGCCACTGAGTCCCATGGTCATAGGAATTGGAGCATGCTTCTGAGAGGCAAGGAGAACCTGGAGAAAGACCTAAAAACTTACACCCATCAGAATGGCCAAGATGAAAAACTCAAGTGATAGCACATGCTGGAGAGGTTGTGGAGAAAAGGGAACCCTCCTCCATTGCTGGTGGGAATGTAAACTGGTTCAACCACTCTGGAAGTCAATCTGGCGCTTTCTCAGACAACTAGGAGTAGTGCTACCTCAAGACCCAGCTATACCACTCCCAGGTATATACCCAAAATTTGCTCAAGTACACAACAAGGACATTTGTTCAACCATGTTCGTAGCAGCTTTATTTGTAATAGCCAGAACTTGGAAACAACCCAGATGTCCATCAACGGAGGAATGGATACAGAAATTGTGGTATTTTTACACAATGGAATACTACTCAGCAATCAAAAAGGAGGAAATCATGAAATTTGCAGGCAAGTGGTGGGATCTAGAAAAGATCATTCTGAGTGAAGTATCCCAGAAGGAGAAAGACAAACTTGGTATATACTCGCTTATATAGACCTACAAGACATGATAAACATAATGAAATCTACACACCTAAAGAAGATAATCAAGAAAGTGGACACAGGCGAAGGTGATTAATCCTCATTTAGAAAGACAAATGGGATGTGCATTGAACTTATGACAGGAGTCTACCACAAAAGGCATCTGAAAGACTCTACCTAGCAGTGTTTCAAAGCAGACACTAAGACTCATAACCAAACCCTCGGCAGAGTGCAGGGAATCATATGAAAGAAGGGAAGTTAGTATGATATGGAAAGGATAGGAGCTCTACAAGGACCAAATATATCCGGGCACAGGGTCTTTTCTGAGACTGACACTCAACCAAGGAACATCTATGGATACAACCTAGAACTTCTGCTCGGATGTGGCCTGTGGTAGCTCAGTAACCAAGTAGTTTTCCAAAGTAAGGGGAACACGGACTATTTCTAACAGGATCTCAAGGGCAGGCTGTTTGACACCCCCTCCCCCCCCAGGGGAGGAGCAGTCTGTTAGGCCACAGAGGAGGACTTTGCAGCCAGCCCTGAAGATACCTGATAAAACAGGGTCAGATGAAAGGGGAGGA